CCCCCCCCGGGGGACCGATCGACATCCATGCGACATCTCACAACAGGCGGACATGGACAACATCGCGGCGGTGATCACGAACCCTATCGGCATCAAGCAGCTGCTGATGGTGACGGAGATGGCGAGGACCGACGAGGAGACCGTGTCGTGCGAGCGATTCCTGGAGTGCCTGCATACGAGTGGGTACTCGGTGGACTCGTACGCCGCCGCGCCACAGAGCTGAGGAGAGCACCTGTTTGTCCTGTTTGCTCCGACTTTCGTTAGGTTCGCTAGTCCACGGTTGGCCAGGAAAGTGCCTGCTTGGGACGCTACGGTTTGAGAATCGTCATGAGTGAAAGTTTGAATTTTGGTGCATGTTCACCGACTGCCTGAGCTCTGTGTTATCCGGCGTATATGTACTGAGGCACAGAGCCATCCGGATCTCGTCGAGACGGCGGCGGAATGATGTATTTTGATCGTCGAGGGACAGATTCGTTGGATACGAATGCCTGGTTGCCATCACTGGACGGCAATACTCGGGTTGTTTGCAACATTCTCGAATGTTGTTGACGCTTCTCGAGGTGTGGGGGATTTGCTCAACTTTCTTGAGGGGCTGGCGGTATTTTGTCATACAGCAACTGTAGAACATTTGGGCGAAACACTCGTCGGCGTTTTTCTGTTTTGTTGAAGTGCATGTTTACAGGCAGCGTGGCGTGGGTACCAGACATCCAACCCTGTCGTCAGAAGCGATTGCATGGTGCTTGCTGTTAAGAGATCAGGCACGGTTCTACGAGAAGCCAGGTGTAGAATGAAGCTCTCATTGTGGCGCGAGTAGGCCGGCAGGGCGGTCCACTGCCTCTCACACAGCCTGAAAAAAGCTTGCTGTACTGCTGCATGCATTCCGAGAAAGGACTCAGCTCGGTGTTATCGGTTGTGCGCCACCTTTCTTTTGAAGGAGGTGGGGGAGAGGGCATGCTTCGGCATGGACCGTAACCCCCGGTCATACTTTTGATTTTTTTTTTACGGTAAATGGTAATCGTGTTCTTCAATAACGATTTTGTCAATCCACAGACAAGAACCCGGTATAAATTAGAAATTCATTCACTGCTGTGTTGTATCGTTACCAACCTGTGCTGCGATTCGTAACTCGCCATGTCGTTCGTCGTTTTCTACCGACTTTACGTGTGTGAGGCCGAATCTGATCTCCAAGTCCATGCACCGCAATAATAAGAGCGACCAGCAACCATGTCCTGCTGGCGCCCTGCTGTCTGTCGTGATTTTTTCTCACTCTCCACGAACTCGAAGCCAAAGACCGGCTGGGGGTTTCACACATACTAGACCAATGCATCTGTGCATACACGCGGCTAGTGCGTCATGAACTGTACCGTAAGGTGGATGTGGACTGGTGCCCGTTGTACTGCTGTAGTCAAAAAACATTTGGGAAGACCAATTACTGAAGAGCAAAAAAAAGCGACCGCGTGCAAGCAACAGCTTCCCCGGACTCGACAGCTCGACAGTGGTGCACCCTCCTCGCAGTTACAATGAGAGAGCGATCATGCGAGCAAAATGGTTTCAAAAGCATTTTCTAGAAAGCACGCGCATGGGTCTGCGTCGGCGGCAATGGCGCTGGCTCCAATGGCTCAAAAGGGATGTCATGCGTTGTACTTGTACGCATCAAAGTATAGATTTGTTGCAACCCCCAACCCCAGACCGTGAAACGCCTTCCCCTTCTGCTGCCAATAACTCGGCGAAAACGTGCACAATCTCGCCGCACTTGTGCGAAGCGAGCAGGCACCACACACGTCGCGGCCTCGAGCGTAAGCTGGCGAGCAAGCAAGCCCAACCGCCCCTCATGCCCACGTGCGGCGAGTACACTACGCGGGCCCAGCCGCGGCGGCGGGCCGAGATGGCCGCCCAAGAGCCGATCTTCCTCAGGAAGACGTTCGAGATGGTGTCCGCGTGCAGCAAGAGCGACGGTGAAAATCTGGCGTGCTGGAGCCCTACCGGGGAGACCTTTATCGTCAAGCACCCGGACGCCTTCTCCAGTGTTGTCATCCCAAAGTTTTTCAAGCGTGAGTGTGCAGCAGCTGTTGCTCCTGATCTACCCGCCGATCCGGCTCTTGTTGTTCGTGGCGTAAATTGAAATCGAGGCAGTATTGCATACGCAGCGCAAAATATAACTGCCCCGAGTTTTGGCTCGCCGATAATGTACCGGGCCACGCCGCCCGGTTGGGCTGTCACGTAAATGAACATGCGCAGCAGCACAGGAGCTTTTCTGCCAAAAGGCTTTGCGGGAACTTCGTGACCGGATTAGAGACGCCGCTCTTTTCTCTTCTTGGCAAGCAGCACGGCGGCACTACAGGTCATATACATACCCCGCATCACCAGCACCAGTCTGAAGTGCTGCAGCGGACGAATTGTTAACCGGTCCCTGTGCCAGCGTGTCTGGGTGCCTAACGGCTGCTGCTGTTGCCGGTTGGTTCGGATCTGTCGTTTGAATAGACGAAGCACAGAGGAGTAATCACGTGTAGGGAGAATTACGTGGGTACAGTCTGTCATCGAAAGTGTTCCATGAGCAGGCGGGTAAGCACCAGCCTTGCCATATTAGTAGAAGGGCCTTAGTAGAATATTAATATTCGCTGGTACGCACCCCACGAAAATGTCCGTTCGCGTTGTATTCGACACCTGTGAGGGAAACGTTGATATAATCGCAGCAGTATGGGTCGTGGGGCACCTTGCGCTGCTGTGTGCTAAAGCATCATGTAGTCTATCACGCACATGTCTGGGATATCAACATAAGACCTTGCAATTGCAACAAATGGTTGAAAATCTTCCTTGTGCCGCATCTGTTTCCTGGCAGAACAGGCGCTCTGCGGCTCGATCTCCCTGCAAGAGTTGTAAGACATGCACTTATGCTGTGAACCTGCAAGGTACAAGATACAATCAAGTTTCAGAGCGCTCCAAAATCCCAACATGGGCGAGAAGACGGGGAAGGCTTCACGGATACTTCCGCGCGATGTCGTCGCAGTTTGTTTTTCCCCGAGCTCACGAGTGAGATCTTTTGGTCAGTTTTTGAGTCGTGTTTTCTTCTACACGCCGCCCGTTTTACCGCATGTGACGGCGGGGCGGTGCGCACGGTCTACCGGTGCTGCAGACAGCAAATTCAGCTCATTTGTGAGGCAGCTCAATTTCTACGGTTTTCGCAAGGTGAAGTCCAAGGCCTCGGGCGCAGGCGTCAACAGCAAGTGGTGGGAGTTCAAGGTGAGGAATAGGTATACTATTATTAGATCATGTCATCACCGCGTGGAGGGAGGCGCCTCGCTCCTACTTCGAAACGAGGAATCAAATTACTACAGTCGTGGTACATGATTCACTCGCTAATGCGTTTTGACCTCTTCAAGCCCCCCAACCGGAATCCACCGGCGCCCGAAGTAATTTTTGATATCGTACAAACGTTTTTGGCTTGCGGCCCACTACAGCCTCTGCGCTGATGCAGGCCGTCGGCATTCGCGATGACAGCTTATCAATGACAGCTTGAGAAATGTATCGCATCGTCATCGCGTGGAATACTCCGCTCTTGTGCCGCTAACCCTACCCCCTACACCCACCCGCCCGCCCCACCCCCTCTTGGCAACGTCGCTTCAAAAACAAAAAAACAGCACGACCTCTTCCACCGGGACAAGAGCCACCTCCTCGCGGACATGCGACGCGCGACGCACTACGGCGTCGCCGCCGACAAGCAGGAGGTAGAGCAGCTTAGGTCGGAGGTCACCCGCCTCCGCAGCCACATCCACGACATGGGCGACAAGATCGGCCAACTCACGTCCCTCGTGGAGTCTCTCTCCGTCGAAGGCCACGCCGGCAGCGGCGGCGATACCACCGTCGAAGGGCCCGCCGGACAATTGGCGGTGAGCCATCGCCGTGGTCCAACCCCCCCGCCAGGCGGGGACGAGCTCTGCGGAGTCCGGGCCGGCCTCGGGCGTCTGTCGTTCGGGTTTGATGCGGCGGCGGGCGACCAAGAGGGGGACGGGGAGGACTTGCGGTTTAGCCTGCCGCCTGCGGTACCGGCCGGCGCGTGCGGCGTCCCCGACCGGAGCGACCTCGAGGACGTAGAGGTCGGCCTTGCCGACGACCCGGCCCTCGGATCGTTCTTGCCGCTGCGCGCCCGATCTCGGAAGCGCAAGCTCGTGCGGTTCGACGGGGTCTTGGCGAACGGCAGCGGAAGCGGCGGCGGAGGCGTTGTCAAGCAAGAGGTACGAGGAGGAGGAGGAGGAGGAGGAGGAGGCCACTCGCCGGCAGTGATCAAGCAGGAGATGGCGGTGAAGCAGGAGATGGTGGTCGACCCGATGGATGCCGAGAGCGAACTCGCGGGAGGCGGTGATCTTGGCGCCTTTGCGTCGAATTCGACCCCCCCGCTGGCGGAAACGCCATCAGCGGAGTTAGTCAGCGGTTTCGGCGGGGGCAGCAGCAGCAGCAGCAACGAGTTCCTCCACGGCTTTGCCGATCAGTTTCTTTCCACTGAGTCGCCAACGGCGAGCTACATGTTGCCTGATCGAGGGGGTGCCGGCGACGGCGATTTCACGGCCGCCAGCACCAGCGACGACGTTGCGTTCTCTGCTGCTGCCATGACGGGTAATTGGACCAGCGTAGTCCAGGGCGGCGCCGGCTGCAGGGCCTGTTCTTGTGTTGCACCTGACGGCGGTTCGTTAAACGGCCGGGGGAGCGGCGGTGGCACCGACAACGGCAGCTGCTGCTGTGGCGGTGGCACTAGGGACGGTAGACAAGCTCGCCACGCAATGGAAGAGGACTTCAACGTCGAAACCTGCGAGACGGGGCAGACGGACGAGTCATCGATACCATCGATACCATCACCACCGCCTTCGTTGTCATTGAATACTCGGAGCGGGCAGAGTGCCGTGGTGCAGAGGGCGCTGCAGCAGCAGCAAACACAGCAGCAGCAACTGCATGCTGTAGAGGACGCCAGGGGCAAGTCGAGCGGGGCAGCTGGGCCCTCACCTTTTCCACCGCCGCCGCTGCGCACAGGGGAGGAGCTCAAGGAGGGACTGTCGACGCTGATGCAAAACCCCGCGCTCCTAGCAGCTCTGACGGAAAAGCAACGAAGCAGCTACAGCGAGAGCGGGAGCAACCGCAGCTCACCAACAAATAATAGCGCACCAACTGCTGCCGCTGCTGGGCCCCAAATGGCCGAAAGCGACGCGAGGGCGACTGTTGCGGAGAAGGGACAGGCACGTCCGCGAACCCGCTCGGGAGCAGTCGCTGCCGCCGCTTCGGCCATGTCGGCGGCTTGCAGCAAAGGGGGCGGGAGTTGCGCTCCTGCTGGTGGTGCAGGCGGGGCGGCGGGAGGAGGGTGCTCGTCGGGGCGGTCGCGAGGTCGCGGCGAGTTCGGGCAGCGGTTTCCGAGGTCGGAGGAGGCGTGCGCGTGAACAGCGCGGCGGATTCTAGGGGTCATCCCCATCGTGTGCCGTGTGGCGCTAGTGCTTGTCTTTGTAGAAACAGTTTCACTTGATGACACGGTAGGGGGCTGTTACTGTTCGCTCGTTTTATTTTTATCGTTCACCACGAGACGATATTTGTGTGGCAGAATTAAAGTCAAGCGCCCTTATTTAAGCGTCATTTTCCAAGAGGCTGGGAGTCAAGCGGAGGAGGTTGGTGTTGCATCCGTGCGCGAGTACATTTAACTATTTGCTGTGCACATGTTCTCTCGTAATGTTTTATCAGCAGGTGAACGTTGCGTCGTTGTTGAGATTCACCGTCTATTTTGTGTTTTCTCTGAAAGAGAGGATTGATTATGATGTGATGCGGCATCAGCTAGATAGATGCGTGGCGTGCAGTTTCGGTGGCGTTGACAATACAATGGTTTTCCGATTGTTCAACTACAGAAATGATCTACAGCGCGTGTGTCGAAAGAAGGCGTGTATTCTGCCGTGCGATATGACGGTCTATACGAGTACGAGGTGGTACACAGCAGTAAAACACTTAATACACCCCGTTCAGGGGGACGAACGGACGTGGGTGGACTAATACTCGCAGCTGTCCCTGTTGCGGTCTCGTTGTTGTTGTCACCATCGGTTCTTTAGGGAAAGGAAGATGAAAACGTGATTTGGATGTTATGCCTACTCGTTTTGGTCGATAAACAGCAACCAAAATAGTGGGGATATCATGTCCAGCTCCATGGTCAGAACGTTTTTCAATGTGGAGGCAACAACGGCAACAAGGCCGTCGGTGGTTAACGCGCGCCCAAGCAAAACAAGGTGTGAAACGTCGCGAGTTTTCCCGACGCCCCTGCTTCCTCCTGAGAAGATAAAGGAAACGGCACAGCCAGGGTCCACATGTGGCGGCCAGTTCGAATCACCCGTTTAGGGATCTTTGTCGTACGGTGCCATTAAAAGTCGAAACGACGACAGCCACATCCCCGACGCCCAAAAAAACACAACAATCTCACGCCGAAAAAGAAAAGAGTGGAAGGACCTTCGCTCCCGCTCCTCGCAACCCCGTACTCTCTAACAACTTCATCGAGCGAACACCGGCGAGAGCTCATACAACGCGATATCGGGGAAACACCCTCCCCTCCAGACAAGCCCCTCCCCGCCCCGGCAACCTTCATCATGACAGCCGCCCACCCACTCGTCCGAAAGCCTCCTGCATCTGAAGGACAGCACTCCTTCCTCGCAGCCCTCGCGGGGGCCTCCCCGCTGCGACGCCTCCGCCGCGGGACCCCTTCCCCCTTCTTGTCCAAGCAGCACGTCGAAAAACTCACTTTCCTGCGGATTTCGCGTCCGGTGGGCGAGGTACACGACCGCCGGCGCCGGAGGCGGCGTTGGGGAAGACCCGGCGCCTGCGGCCCCCCGTCGTCGCGTCGGCTGCCGCTGCCTTTCCCCTGCTGCGGCCAGCAGCTGTCGCAGCGACTCTAGGAGCGGCTCCCACCCCGCCGGGTCGTAGAGAAGGTCCGAGCAAAGCACGACGTCGAAGCCTCCCCCCTGCGAGAGGGCTAGGTGGTGCCCGACGGGCGAGCCCCAGTCGTACTCACACGCCTTCCTTTCCAAAACGTCATGAGGGAACGGCAAAGCGAGGGGATGGTTGGGTTGAAATCCGACGAGGTGTCGTTCGCCAAGTGTGCGATACTACATCAAGTGTGTGATACTACGCCAGTGTACGATACTACATCAAGTGCACGATACTGCGCCAAGTGTACGATACTACATCAAGTGTACGATACAACGCCAAGTGTACGATACTGCACAAGAATCGGCCAGCTGACACCACGGGTTGCCATTCTACGGTCGAGTGTGTGGGCTTGTGAGCTTGATTTTCGGTGCTCAGGGAAAGAGTAAAGTAAACAGAAGCAGCCCACAGCTAAGCTGTTGCCAAACAGCGGGTGTTTCGCCACAAAACAAACGTTCTGTCTGTGGGCGCCTGACGGAAAAACCACGTTTGTAATAAAACCTGAAAACACGCGCATTGCATCACCGCGGTTCGTCGCGTCGCAAGCAAACACCCCCCGAGACCATGTAACACTGCACCACCACGGCTGTGGTAAAGCGGACGCACTTGCAGGCCGACCGTCACGCATCATGACTGACGACAGCCTACACGCTGTTCGTTCATGTCGCGCACCTCGACGTTCACGGAACCCGGGCAAGAATTCCTCGCCAGGTTGAAGGTCAGCAGAGGCAGCAAATCCTTCGTGTCCGTCGCCACCACCTCGGAAGCGCCCAGCGCCGCGCACAGGGCGGAGAGCGTTCCCGTCGCGGCGCCGAGCTCGACGACCCTCTTGCCCTCCAGGGAGCCCGGGCCGAGGGCGGCCAGGAACGCTCCCATCTTCAAGGAACAGTCCCACACCGTGCCGAAGAACCCTCCCAGAGAGGCGGACTCCGCGGCGCACACTTCGACGATCTTGTTGCCGTGTTTGTCGTCGTTTTCATCGTCGTCGTCATCGTCGCATGCCGTGCTGCCGCTCCCACTGCCGCTGCCGCTGCCGCTGCTCGCGCTGCAGCTCGACAGGCCGCCAGTCGCGCCGTCCCACTCACTGCCCGACATGGCTGGCGCGTTGCCAACTGGCGATGATGACAATGATGGCCGTGACCAAGCAGGAGTCGCCGGTGGGGACGGCGGCGGTGGAAGCGAAGTATTTCTTGGCCCCCTGCAATAACCCCCTTTGTGTTTTCTTGACGGCGCTTCGGCGAGGTGGGAGTCTTCGACAGTCGCTCCTTCGGCTTCGTTTGGGGTAAACTTAGAGCCACTCTTTTCCTCCCGCCTCTCTTCTTCTCCGGGGGTCCGCCGCCCCGTATCGCGATCACCACCGCCACGGGCCACGCCAACTTCGAATCGCAGGCGACGGACGTTGCACGCGTCTCTCCGGCCTATCACCGCTCGCCTTTGGCCTGTGGGTGTACATCCGAACAGGAGACAAGAGGGCAGATGTAAGGGGGGGGCATGCTCATGTTTTGCTTGCCAAAGCTGCCGAGACCATTGACCATGCTTGTTCGAAAGAACACCGGGGCGTTGTTCCCCTGGACCGATCACCGATGGTTCCTTCCTACTTTGCCCAAAGTCGCTCAACAAGTTGTCCGTATCTCATCAAACTCATGGGGGGGCGGCCGGGGGTCGGGGCTTGCAAGGTCCGGGTTATCCATACCCGCCAACGCTTAACCACACGAAACGCACTTACGACGACACCCCCGGCCGTGCGAACGCACCTTCCCCTTCGAGTCTGCCGGTAGGAGGAGTTGGAGTGGCGACAGTAGGGGTAGCTCCGACGGCGGCGACATGGTAAGCAGGATCGTGGACGAAAGCGGGCAGAGACTCCAGAGGTAGTACCGGACGATTGAACCTCCGGACCCAGGCCGGCGAGAGGGAGATCGACAACTGTACCTCCGCCCCGGCAACTACCCCATCCTCCCCCTCCGGCTCGCATCCGTTTTCCTCTCCGGCTGCCGCTGCCCGTGCCTGCCGACGCCGCCGACGCCGCCGCCGCTGGGCGGCTACAGCCGGGCAGGCACACACGGGGGTGCTATCGTCATGGTCTAGGTCTGGAGGGGTTCGGGGCTCTGTGGGCCTGCTCGCTGGTAAGACAGCCACCCATCCATGCGCCATTCCAGTCGAAAGGTCAAGGGTAAGCTGTGGTTCATGCACAACAGTGCCGGGGGGTGGGGGCCGGGAAGGGGAGGCGAGGTAGATTTTTTGGGGGGGGTGTACTCATAGTCGTGCATGCCGTTCGTGGGGGGGGAGGGGTGAATTAAGGGGATACAGGGGGCAGTGCAGGGTTGACTATTGAACACGGAATGGGACGCACATAGCGTCGTAGCAAGCAAGAAGCACCACGGCCAACACGGCACAGAGCGAAAAGCTTCAAAAGAGGCGGCACCCGCCGTAGTGACGGAGTGCGTTGCTCGACGAACAGGGAGTCATTCAATGACACAACGCGCAGCTTTCGAGATCGTTTTATCTGGCACTTCCACTTCCTGCGGGTGAGAAAGGTAATAGAAAAAAAGCACACACGCATCACCTCACCCCCTTGGAGGGCGCACATTGCCGTCCCTGGTCCGCGTGACTACTGTCGACGTGTCTGTCTGCGCCACCCCCGGCTTCCCCACAAGAACCACCCGCACCAACGCATTCGCCTTCCTCGATGCTACTGGACACGTCCAAGAGGAACCGGTTCGCTCTCTCGCCCTCCAGGGTTACCCGAAGGGGCACGACGCCCGCTGCCAGGCCATCGTGCGCAGAGGAGGAGCTTGGCTCCGGTTCCGCCCAGACGTGGTGGCTGTGAGGGTGCTGAACCCGAACGCCTTTGTTCCGAAACAACCGTAAGGGCGGGTAGACGGGCCAGGTGTGGCTTCATGTGGGCCGAGGAAAATTCAACCTTCGAGCCCTACGATAGTGCTACTCTGCGGGTGCGGAAATGGTCTTCGGGCTGTCGAACAACGAAAGCACGCCAGCTCCCTCTGCACATCCACCCGCGATTTACCGGTATGTTCATCGGGAGGTTGCTTCTCTAGGGTGTGTGAAGGAACCCCCCTGCCCCTGTCACGCGCGCGTCTGTCTCCTTCCTCCACGCGGCACCCCACTAAGGGTTTGTCGCACACACAAAGTACTTGGAACGACTGCGGGTTAACGTACGTAGCGATTCGAACGCGCTCCAACGTCTGGCTCACGCTGCAGTAAACCATAAATAGAGTTTCGTGCAGGAAGGTGGCTGGCCACCCAGGTCGGTTGGGGGAAGGCACCAGCAGGCAAGACGCACCGGCTTCGCTCTCAAGGGCAACGGTTACCGCTACGGGCTCCCCGAGCGTCCAGTGACCTGCGATGCAGTACGCGGTCGGCGGCGGCGGTGAGGGGAGAAGGAGGAGGGGGCAGGAAGGGGGCTCAATTGTCAGATACGATCGGTAGTCGACAGACCACAGGTCTTGGCAACCCTATCGCGAAAACAAAGGGGAACCGCCGCGGGGGAAGGGTACTCAGCAAAGCACCATGGCGAGTGCGGTGCATCGCGGGATCCACTTGTGAGGCGGACTTTGAGGACTACACCGCTGTGCGGTTGTGTACCTTCTCGTGCGACGGACAGGTCCCTCGTTGACGCGATAGCCTTCCTGCGGGCTTGGTTGGCAATTCCAGAGACAGCTGTGGGAAGTCCATGTCGCTACTTTTAACGGGTGCTGGGAAAAAACAACATACATAACAACATAAACGGTTTACATAACAGCTTGTGCGGGCTGAAATAAATGCGAAGATGGAGTCGTTCACGTAACGCACACACTATCATCTAACCCAGTCACCACTCACTCCCCGTGATCGCAGCCAAAAGGGCAAGGCACGCTAGACCGGTGTTCTGAAGCGTTAGCTTCAGCCTCATCGTTCGATATCCGTGGGTTCAACTTTCACTCGCATCCCCACCCCTGACCCAACTCGGCCTCGAATGCTGATCTCGGGCTACAGCAGTGCAAATCTCGTGGCGCCTCAAATATGGTTCGGTAGGGAATCACAAACCATGACCCCTCCCCGAGTTTGAGCAGCTTGCACCTCCTGTGGCCGACACAAATCGGCCTTCTTCTGTTCCTTGTCGGTTCCGCCATGGGAATGGCCGGTTAAACAGCGAAAGAGGGTCCTGCGTGCTGCGCGCCACAACCTTCTTTTTT